TCCCCCCCCCCCCCCCCCCCCCATTCTCTCTCTCCTTCTTTTTTTTCTCATTTTTGCCCTCTCGAAGCCTTTTCTTTACTCTCAGAAGCATAAAAGCCTCTTTTAACTATAAAACTGCTTATGACCTTTGTCAAGTAGAAAAGTAGAAAGTTGTGTGAAATTATGAAAAAATGTGTGATTGCACACACACCCAAACAGGAGAGACACGATAGAACGGAGAGCAACAAGAAGCAAAGAATAAAAAATTTTCATTTTTCTCTCTCTTTCTCTTTCTTTCTCTTCTAATCATAGAAGAGATGACATTTAGTTTTGTAAACATCCATCTTAATTCTATGAATTGATGTTTTTGGCTGTGTTTCAGTCGAAAAAAATGGAACATTTTCGACATTTCTTTTTATGTTTTTTTTTTTGAAATATTTTTCGCAAAAACCCAAATTTCCTCTCATTTATTTTGCTTTTCAGAAAGTTTTTTTAAGCTTCTCCCTCCCCCTCTCATCCCTCACTCTCTCTCTCACACTCACTCACTGTCTGTTCCTCTCATTGGAAACTGCCAAACATGAATATATGAAGTTGTAATGACAAATTAATAAGTATTAAATACAATTTATGTTAGGATAATATTATAAATTAGAAAAAAGATGTCAAAAAGCTTGCAGAACAGCTTCCAACTTCTGTCGGCGGTGTTGCTGTTCTTCCAAGTTCATTCATAATATTTCAATAACATTATTACTTTTATTATTATAATGTATATGTCAAATGTCATAATAGCTACTCATGCATGTTAATTCCTTCATTAACTATCCTTGCCTCCAGCAATTTTCTGTTTTTTTCCAACTTTCAAGCTTCCTCTCTCTCATTCTCACCTTCTCTTTCCCCTCTCCCACTGAAACTCTCTCAATTTCTCTTTTTTTTTGTTTCATTCTAAATAACGCTTTAATCCTCATTTTTCATTTACGATAATTAACATCTGACGCAAAATATGCTAATTTGTATCCGCCCGTAACGATCACGTGCATAGTCACGTACGTCAAATGTCGGTTATTTTCGATTGAGCATGTAATCAGAGCGGTTGTTTCTTTTTTATCTTCTTCACTCTCTCTCATTCTCTCCATATCTCCTTCTTCCCCTCTCTTCCGTTTACTATTTACCTTTTTTTCTCGTTTTTCTTATTTCTCTCTAGACTCTCTCCTAATCTATCAAACTTATTATTTCTCTAGCTACTACTGCTGCTGCACGTTCTCCCTTTTATGAACCTCCTTCTTATTTTTTTACCTCTCTCTTTCTCTCTCTCTCTCTGTAATCGTATTAATCTAACTCTCATACACTTGTGCACTCTTTCTTTCATTTCTTATTTCCTTCATTTTATTTCTCTCATTTAATATTTTCCAACAATTTCTTTATTATTTTTTTTATCCAGCATGTTCTCATCGTTTCACCCACTCATCCGATATCTTCTATCTCATTTCCTTCATTGTTTTTCTTTATAGTTAATCCTATGAAAGTAAAAAAAGATTTAAAATATCTGTTGCCATATAAGTGTGGGTGTTGATTCTTATATGCTGCTTCAAAGAGAACAAAAGAGAAGAAGCTGAAGGATAAGTATTATCTTTGTCTTTTCGTTCCTGAAATATGAATGAGATTGATCTTCTACTATTCACTGCGTAGTTCCCTCCCTCGTCTTCAATTTTTTCTTATTCTTCCCCTACTCCTCCTCTCGCTCCTTCTTCATCTCCAGCTATCCTCCTGATTAAGCTTCCAGTGATTTATTTTGTAATTAAAAAATATATTTTCATCTATTATGAGAGAAAGAATTTTACTCGTGTGTTTATAATCTCTCATATTATCTATCAAACCGATTTGCTCATTACATTCCTTCTTTTAACATAATAAACACAAATCAAAGAATATTCGTCTTTTCTCTATTCTACAAAAATTTTATTCAACAGCTTTATATACTTTCTCTCCCTTGAAGAGAAATCACTCTCTGCATCGTTATCTGTTTTTCATTTTTTTTCATTGCCATCTCCTTTCACATGAAACGATTCGATACAGCTTCCTTATTCGTTTCACACCTCCATCCACTTCTGTTCATCTCCTACAACTGGCTCCTTCAACGACATCCCTACCTTAACAATTGAAATAATTACATCTCATTTCCTTATAGCATTTTTAAAAAAAGATCTTCGATTGTATTCATAAAAATCTATATACATATAGTTATTATATTTCAAAATGACGTCATTCATCTCTCAATTTCCTTTCGTGGCCTAACGAGCTGCTCTCATTTGAAAAGTTCGATAGATCGCGGAAACATATAACTTCTTATATCTTCATGAGAATCTTTCAGATTTAATTTATAATTTGAAAAAAGGGCTAAAGACCACTGTCTAATTCAGATGAAACTCTGGCAGATTAACGAAAAAGCTCTTAACTTCAATAACGTTTCACTTTTCTCTCTCTATATCCATTTCCTTCCCCCCCCCCTCCTCTCTCTTTCTCTCTTTCTTCATATTAACGTAGGAAATTAAACATGCACAACCTTTTTTTCACAAAAGAACACGTAGACTCAGTGAGAGCTTTACACGTTCATACTTTCGTATTTTTCTGGAGCTTCTCAAATTCTTTGAAATGTTATCATCTTTTGAAGCTTCTGCCTCTTATAACAGCTCGTTCGCTTTCTTCATTCCAATGCCAAAAACTCATTCCTTCTACGACTTCAAAATCTTTTCTCCTCCTCATTCATGGTTTTCTCTCTCTCTTTGTCTTTTCATATTATTCATAAAAAGAAAAACGTTTTCGTCAACATTGCTTTAGGGCATTTATCCTTCTCAATCCTAATTAAGTTTCTACTGAAGCTTCTCTAAAATTCTTTTCATCTATCATGAATATTTTTTTTTGTCGTATACCCACTCACACTCCCTCCATCACCTATCAGCATTGATCTTGATATGTATTTTTGCATCGTATCTCCTTCGACTTCTTCTTGATATTCATATTCTCGTTTACAGGAATGCAATGCCGGAAACCTATCTGGCTCAGCCTCTTTCTGGTAATCTTGTCTCTTACTGAGGCAGTAGAGGTAGGAGAAGAAAAAACAATTTTCTTATTTTATTTACAAATATTTCTTTAAGGTTTTCACAAATCATTTCCATGTTCATCTGAAAGAGCCCGGAATTGAAAATGCTCATCGCATTGCCAAAAGACACGGATTTGTAAATAGAGGCTCGGTAAGCTTGCATAAAGCTTTATGAGAGCAAAAAAATGTTTAAAAATGAAAGACGAAAGCAATAATTAAAAAAGAAATAAACCATATTTGGGTATGCAGAGAGGTTTCTTAATTGCTTTCCAATCGTTCCTCCCTCAATCTATTTATTTGAAAGAAAATAAATTTTGCGAGCAGAAGAAAAAAAACAAATAAAATGTTGAACTTTTTGAAATTTTTCAGGTTCTCGGAAGTGACACGGAATATCATTTCGTTCAACCAGCTCTTTCTCATGCAAGAACTCGTCGATCAATTGGACATCATGCTAAACTTCATAAAGATGATGAGGTAACTATCATATTTGTATATTCATACATATATTCATATATAAATAGAATTTGTGCTCTTTCATTCATTTCGTTTGATCAAAAGTATGTTTGAAGGCGTAAATTGAGAGCTCAAGAAATACCCCTGATACTTAAGGACATTATTGCTCCTTTTGAGCTCAATCTTTGAGCAATGAGATGAATGAAATGAAATGTTAAATATCGTCCAAATTGAAAAGAAAACCTTTCAAAGATGAAGAGTCACATATGTAATCGGACATCATCCGTGTATTTCGTTTTACTATCAAAGATGAATAAATAGTAAACAGAATATGAGATTTGAGATTTCTTCGGCTTCAGAATTACGAAAATGGAGAAGAATGCAATTCAGATGAGAAGAAAAAAAGAAATCTTTTTAAGCCTCCCTCGTAGATAGAAATGACAAAAAACAAAATTAAAAAACTGTTTTTGCTTTTTTCGTTCCTTACTTTGAAAGAGAGAGTTCACCAGAAAAAAAAATGAAAGGATGGGGGGACTGAGAGAGTGTCCCTTAGAGAGCAGAAATGAGAAAGAGGATTGGGTGGGGGGTGAGAGTCGAAACAAACCATCAAATAAGTTCATGGCAAGTTCAATTTAGTGGGTGTCAATGAAAATGTTTTTGAATATTCTGAATGGAATATAAAACAAATTGTTTCAGGTAAGCCATGTTGAACAACTGACCGGATACAAGCGTACCAAAAGAGGATATCGGTATGTTACATGTGCTTTCAAAGAAGTTATATGAAAACATATTTTGCAGGCCATTAGCTGAAAGACTAACGAGTCAACTTGATTTTTCATCAGTTCAATCACCAACAGACCCATTATATCAATATCAATGGTATTTGGTAAGTTTCTTTTCATTTTCGCTTTGTTACAAGCTGCAGAGATGACAAGAAGTTGAAAAAGGCAGTGTTCCGATGACGAATGAATGAGAGACAGAGATATAGAGAGAGAAAGGGACAAAGAGAGAGAAAGATAGAGAGAGAAGAAGTTGTTTTTAAATGATCTCTGTTCTTCTACTAGTTGAATGTTTAAAATTACTATGGCTTTGTCACTTTTCGAGCTTCAATACGTTCATTCACACACAATTTTATTAACCAAACATACGAGACAGCCCAAAAAAAGAGACACAAAGAGACTTCTTCTTTCTATTGACGTCATCATCTTTTTAAGCTTCGGGTCATATGAAAGATTGTCCAACGTATATCTCTCTCTCTTTCTCTCATACTCCTTTTTTTCCGACCTTTCCCCTAATAATCATCCAGACGTGACGAAAAATGTGTTTGACATGAAAATTTGTCATAAAATAGCCTGAGGCGTTAATATATTGGAAAGGAGATTTAATGCATCTAAACCAATGAGAGAAAGCCTTCATACTCAACTTTTTCTTTTTTTTTCAGAAGAATACTGGACAAGCCGGAGGAAAAGCTCGTCTTGATCTCAATGTGGAAAAGGTGAATTAGACTAAAAGTCAGGGAGAATAAAGTCTGAAAATTGAGATGAAAGAGCATTTCCTTAACTTCTCTTTCATTTTTTTTGCTCCCATTCAAATAAAGTCTAGAATGTGAAAAGAAAATTAATTTCGTCTATTGAAGGCATGGGCACTCGGCTTTACCGGAAAGAACATCACCACAGCTATTATGGATGATGGCGTTGATTATATGCATCCTGATTTGCTGAATAATTTTGTAAGAGAATTATAGATGAAGATAATTACAAACAAATGAGTTACAGAACGCTGAAGCCAGTTACGATTTTTCATCAAATGATCCGTTCCCGTATCCCCGTTATACGGACGATTGGTTCAATTCTCATGGAACTCGGTGAGCATTCCATGAAAATATTAATTTATATTTAATTATTTCCTCATTTTATAACTTTTTCTCTCTTTTTTCTATATCTTTTCATCTGTACTATACCTGCGAAACCAAAATATTTTTTTTCGTGCTATCAACATCTTTTCAAACTAACAAGAAGAGAGTTTCAAACAGATGTTTGATGCGTTTCATGCTCATGTACGAATCAAGCTACCTTGACTAATCTCACTTCTTTCTCCCAAAATGGATATTTATATACATATATATATATTCATATTTTTTTCATTTCCGCAACCTTCAGATGTGCCGGAGAAATTGCCGCTGCCCGCGATAATGGCGTATGTGGTGTTGGAGTTGCTCCAGACAGTAAAGTTGCTGGAATTAGAATGCTCGACCAACCATATATGACGGATTTAATTGAAGTATAACAAACAACACTTATAAATCAATTATTATATTTCAATTATCTCTTTATAGGCTAATTCAATGGGACATGAGCCAAATAAGATTCACATTTATTCCGCTAGTTGGGGACCAACTGACGACGGCAAAACAGTTGATGGCCCAAGAAACGCCACAATGAGAGCCATTGTCAAGGGAGTTAATGAGGTGGGGAGAAAAGAAAAAAAACAGAGCTTAGTTTACCATTTTCCACTTGCTATTGTTGAAACAAGAAAACAGAGCACACTGAAAGGAATATTTTGAAATAAACAAGAAATGTTTAGGGTCGTGATGGTCTCGGCTCCATTTTCGTTTGGGCTTCTGGAGACGGAGGAGAAGATGATGACTGCAATTGCGATGGCTATGCAGCTTCTATGTGGACAATTTCAATCAATTCTGCTATCAACAACGGAGAGAATGCTCACTATGACGAGTAGGAATCAGACTGTCAAATTGATTCTAAAAAAACATATTTGAAGGTCATGCTCTTCAACATTAGCTTCCACTTTCTCCAATGGAGGACGAAACCCAGAAACTGGTGTAGCTACCACTGATCTTTACGGAAGGTTAGTATTCCCAAACTTTTTTTGTTCCTGCTAAACCCATTGAGCTCAACTTGAAATGTTTTTTTTTGAAGAAACGAGGAAAATTAATTTGTTTCATTCCAGATGCACTCGTTCTCATTCGGGAACATCAGCTGCGGCTCCAGAAGCTGCTGGTGTCTTTGCGTTGGCATTGGAAGCTAATCCTAAGCTTACATGGTATTTTATTTTTAAATTTAAATTTCTGTTCATTGCTTATTTAAATTGTAATTAGAATAGAACAATCGATAATCACGTAAAAATGTTTTCACGTCATTTGACATCATTTCAATGTTTTCAAACGCACAGACCGGTTGATTCTAATTTCAAGCGTTTTCCGTTTCATTTTTTCTTCGTTAAAACGTCTATAATCCAAAAATCTATGCACTTCTGTCAAACTCGTCAACATCTTCTAAGCAGATTGATTAAAAAAAATGTTTCCAGGAGAGATCTCCAGCATTTGACTGTCTTGACTTCTACTAGAAACTCACTCTTCGATGGCCGTTGTCGTGACCTCCCCGAGCTCCAACTTAAGGTAATTTGATTAGTTTTTTATGAGCAGTATTTCAAATATATTTTACTACCCTCATGTTCCATGTCTTAACTTCGGTTTATTGTAGGGACATGACAACCACGTCCATTCAACTGGAAACTGTTCTCATTTCGAATGGCAAATGAATGGAGTTGGATTAGAGTACAACCATCTGTTTGGTTTCGGTGTTCTTGATGCCGCTGAAATGGTTTATCTTTAATAAAATGATGTGGATCATTAATTTGTTCAGGTTATGCTCTCTATGGTCTGGAAGACATCTCCACCTCGTTACCACTGTACCGCTGGAACCATCGATATTCCACAGTATGTTCTTTCTATAGGATAATTTCAATAATTAATTATTTTCCAGTGAGATTCCCGCTGACGGTAATATAGTTTTGGAACTCGATACAGATGGATGCGCAGGTTCTGCTACTGAGGTAAAAAATCATTTTGATACATGATTACTACTGTAATGTTAGGTACGGTATTTGGAGCACGCTCAAGCCGTAATCTCGTTCAATTCCACTCGTCGTGGTGACACAACCCTTTATTTGATATCACCCATGGGAACCAGGTTTGCAAAATTTTGAACAAAAATTAATAAATAATATTAATGATTTCAGAACTATGATTCTTTCTCGTCGTCCAAAAGACGATGATGCCAAGGACGGCTTTACTAACTGGCCATTCATGACTACCCACACATGGGGTGAAAACCCACGTGGAAAATGGAGACTTATTGCTCGTTTCCAGGTAATTCAATTTTTTTTTCATTCTCATAATGAAACATGAATATACAATTTAAATTTGTATTTGTTCAGGGACCTGGAGATCACAGAGGTACTCTCAAGAAATTCACTCTGATGCTTCATGGAACTAAAGAACCTCCTTATGCTGGCATTGAACCCCTTATGGGGCATGTGAACTCGAAGCTTCAAGTCGTCCAGACGGCTCACAAGCGAATGACCCACTAAATTCCAACAGAAAAAAACTTTTTTTGAATTTCCATGAAAACAGACTGATCTCTATCCAATCCACAATCTCTCTCTATCTCTCTCTCTCTCTTCTCCCTGTCTCTTCTACTCTCCTATTCGTTATGAAACATCTTCTGTCCTATCATAGTTGAAGACAATCTGAATGGAAAAGCTCCCTGCCAGATACAACTGAACGCCAGATAATAAAGACGAAATTCCAAAGATTTCTATACCTAATTTCGTTTTAAAACATTTTTTTATTATTATAAAATCATTCTTGATCCTGTTATATTCGGTGGTTGTAACAGAAATAAAAGCATTGAGTGTATTTAACACTTAATTATATTTCATTAAATCTTTGCTTCTTCTTCTGTGTGTGTTCTTCTTCATCTTCTTCTACTTCTTCATTACCATCTTCACATCCTCAACATCAACAAATTCATTTTCTTCTATTTTTTATTAATTTTTTTATTATTATAAAAAAGGTTTTTTTTTCGGGTCTTTTATGAGTTCCTGAGTTGATCTGTTCGGTGGCAGCTTCTTCTCTCTCAAATCCATCTTACCAATGACCGACGAAATGCTACTCGATTATGTAGTCATACAAACGGTGAATAAATGACTATTTGTTAATTTTCTGAATATTTTTTGCTTCTACATTATACAAAACACATGACAACATCTTTCTACACGTCGATGATCAGTCAGGATGTTCATACGAATCGTCTGCAGAAAGGAGAGAGAGAGGAAAAAACATTTTTTTGCGGCTTCTCTGCACGTCTTCCTGGGACTTTAGCGGATGAAAATTAATTTTCTTTTTTGGTTGGCGGATTTGAACGATAGCTGCTGTAATTCTAATAAATTTGATATAGACGGCCAGGAAATCTCCTTGAAATCAACAAAACTTCTTCACATGGGTAGCACGTGTACAACATAAAATCATATTTTTGAATTTAAATTGATGATAATGAATAATCTGATTGGAGAGAGACAAGCTAAAAAATCATTTTATGAAAGTTCCGGCTGGATAACGAAGTGATTCTTGTTTTTCCTCTCCCACTGTTTCTATGGCATACGCTCGAATGGAAAGGGAAGCTGAATTTGTTTACAATGAACATATTTTGAAGTTTATACAATTATAAATTGTAATGATGAAGGGAACTCATTCCCAGTTTGATCTGAGTTTCGAAAACTCCAATTCATTCTGGGTCAAAATCTGGGAAGGATTTCAAAGTTATCTCAATATAAATATTAATTTTCAACTCCAAGCATAAGAATTTAGTTTATTATGTATGTCTCATTTGGCGTATGCATAGTGTTCAGCGTACTCCATATGTCTTGTGCTCTATCAGTTCTCCATGTATGACTGTATGATTCCGGATTTGAAACCTAACATCATTTGATTCGAACACACTTGGACTCGATTCGAATCTATGAAACGAAAGCACATTGCTCAAAAGAAAATCCAAAGAATTCTCATAGAATCAGTTCTAAAAATAAAATTTCATTTTATCAGTCAAACCTGATAACGATTTGCGACAGATTGAAGTCATTACAGCTATCCGATGTCATTATACATTTAGTTGAAGCTATATAGCATAGATCTCTTCTGATTATAGTCATGCTACTCTTGGCGGGAGTATTGCTTAGCTCTAAGCTCACAGTATACACATAGTATATACGACATACGGTAGTACGATACTCTGATCCTAGGTCTCATCTCCTCCAATAGAACCAAGAACAATTTAAAGTTTTAGAATATTTTATTTAAACAATAGTTTATAAAAACAATATATCGAATATAAAGATTATTTTATCCCATATTCGAATTTTCCAAATCACAGTTCCATATCATCCGGAATCCAACGCCATCGTTATCATCACGATCATCTGTAGTGAACGTGAGACTAAGTTTTCGATCCTCGCTCGTGGCAAATTCATGAATTACAGCAATTCCCTGCAAAACTCAAAGTTTAAGTTCCTAACTTATAAAGTGATATATACATGAGAACAGGTCCGAACACTATCCTTAGCAACCTGTTCGACTCCATCCTTCTTGTAGCTAAGAGTCATTTGTAGGCTCTCATCTTAACATTTCAATATTAACTACTGAAAATCTTCAAGGTGTCCTACTAGTGTCAGCACAGGTTCCGGTTCCGGCGATCGATAATCCCAAACTTAACTTCGTCACCATAACAATACAATCACGATCGTTTGGTGGGATTATAGTCCATCTCAAAAGGAAGTATTAGCAAAAGATCTATTATATAAAGATTCTGATACCTCTGAACCATATTTTTCTTGTATTTGTTCGGGAATTCCACATTTGTCAAGCCACCAGACACTTCATATATGGGGTTGAAAACAATCTCATCGGCAGCTAGAACGAACTCCCGATGAACGCGGTCATGAGTTAAACAACAAACTTCTCTTTTTCACCGTTGTGTAGACAGCATTATATCCTGGACTCTCGTTCGACTCATCCGATTTGAAGAAAATCTGGAATAACAGATTCCAATTTTGGTTATTTAAGCAGTAACTACTTTCAAAGATTTTGTTTTGTTGAAATATGTTGGGGGTTTATCAATTCCACAGTATCGATGCGAATTACTGATGTCATTATCAGACACCTAAACAAAGCGATTGGATTCGTTTTGAAATTTGAAACTACTTGAACATAATCGTGAGTACAGAAGAACGTTCGATGATATTTCTCACGGGGTGAAGCAAATCTTGAAGATGTTATATTCCTTTTCCTATAAAGAGTGGCTTGAGCTTCTTCCAAACTGAAGCGACTGAAATGAGTTGGTTTTCGAATCAGTACTGTCACGAAGCGTGTTTACTTGAAAGTCAGAAGAACTTCTTGATCAGTATCTGAGATTAAGGTAGTTTCACATGAAGTATTAGAAGAATAGGGCTGAGGATAGTGTGGACTCGTTAAACGCCCACTCTTATACTCATTCAAGTTAATTGTACGATTACAGTCTGAAAATATTCAAATTGTTTTCCCAGCTATACTTAGATGTTCAGTACTTTCTAGCAGTTCGTAGTTAATGGAGAATGATGACTTCTGTTCATCTGATATCAAAGCCGCTGTTGTTATTTGAACAACCATCGTGTTCGATACGAATGGAGAAACAATTTCATCTCCACAGTACCGTATAGTCTAAAAGGGGAAAATCCTTGATAGTTTCAATCGAATTTTTATATTTACTCGTTTATCTCTTTCGCGTTTAGCACAAGCTGGGTGTTCGCATTTAGCCAAGAGACCAACATCACGAATCTCTACAAAAGAGTTGGAGCAGTCCGATCCGATTTTGGTGAAGTTTAAGTTTCTGCAACAATCATCTATGTGAGAGACTTCAAAGATATGCAATAGTACTTCAACTGAACCCAGATAGGTATTTGCTCTTTTGATTGGATAATCCACTGACAACGTTGTATTGTTTGAACGTGATGAGCTTCTGAAGTCATATTGCTCGAAGTTATCGGATGATGAAAGAAACGCACCACTAACTGCCTTGCTTTCATAAGTTTCTGTTTGAACTTCATCGGTCGCTGTAAGCCATTTTCCACAATCACCTTTAAAAAAACAATTTCATTTCGTAAAAAGTTGAGGAGTACTTTTCTTAATTCGATAATCTAACTTGAATCCACTAGCTGAGTTTGAAGAATCAGATTTGAAGTGTGCATGAATAACTCTGAAAGTCAAAGAAGTAGAAGCAGTTCTCACCCAGAAGCATACCTATGCGACGAATGGTAGTATGCCGGTAGTGATGTGACAGTTTCTGTACACAAGTCTTCGATCAGTGGTGGCGAAAATGCTCGATAACCATCATATATCTTCAAATGTGTCGATGAAGTTTAAATTGAAAAGTGTTTTAAGCCATACCGCCAAGCTGTCAACACAAACGCGCTTTGGACGAACCCCAGGAACCATATGAAGCTTTTCTGTTTGCATTTCAGTTAACCTAACTTCAACAATGCTGTGATCGGGACCTAAGATGGTCCATCCACAGTCCAAGCTCTCCAAATAGTTTCCTGAGAGGATAAAAGTGTTAAAATTAGTTTCATAGGGTAGAAGCAAACCTGATGAATCCTTTGGTGGAGTCAATGTCTTCCAGTCATCGGTAGCACTCAGCGTTCCTCCACAACCATGTTCAGGACCTGAAACAAATGAAAAATTGTTTTCCCGGTTACTTCATTACCTAAGGTTGCTGTAACAACCAACACAAATCCTCCATCGTTGTTTGTACTGTCGGTAACGAAATTGACTAGCATGTTGCTTGATTTGGTTCGTAGATCATAGCGGGGTAACCTGAAGCAATCAGTTGGTTTTCGAGTTTCTTCTGGCCGGAGATTTTTTATGAATAATGGTAAACCTTACATGTTATTGTCGCAGTACTTAGCTATCCTAGATTTGTTCGAAGCAACTGTTCCATCATATATTTCTAAGTAGTCCATTGCGCACTCATTCGATACTTCAAGAAGGAAGTACTCCAATCTGAATTCAAGCAGTTAGAGCTACTGATAAGTTTCTCTGAATTACTTGGACACTAAAACTCTGTCTGATGGAGCACTTATATTCCAAGAACAGTTAAGCTGATGAAGGTACGGTAAGGGGAATGCAGGTGAAACTATCCTTGTTGACCAGGAATACGTGTCAGCAGCTTCATCATAGCCTAATTGGATGTCTCCTCCACAAGCTTAGATAATAATTATTAATTCGCTGAACAGTTTTTAGAAAATACTTTGAATTTCATAACTAAGTCGGAATCCTCGATTGAGTTTTCTTGCTCGTGCGTTGTACATTTTTCTGGCGGTGAAGCGAATGCCCACAGCTCCCTACAATAAGGTTTTTGCTGAACAACTGATGCTTGCCAACCTTAAATGCTAATGCACTATCAGGAACTGAATCTCCTGCACAGAAGACGACACTTCTTTTTGTTTCTGTCTCTATGATTTCTATGTAATCCGAATCACAACTGAATCTTTTTTTCGTCATTTGAACACCATCTGTTGATTGGAAAATTATTCCGGAAGATTGAGATTAACCATACCAATTACAGTACTGAGATCAAAATCGTTGAATCTCACAAGGATGTGCGATTTTGAATATTCTCCTGTAGGATTTATCAAATACTCGCAAACTGCAAAATTTTTTTTAGAATCTTTCTCGACCAAGTCACTTACCCATATCCTCATTTGGATAATAAATCGGATAATGAGGGGATTCTATAGTGTTCTTTGGCTGAGTATAAACAGCTCCGCAAACTTTAAATAAAGGAGATGTTCAATCAGGGTTTCTGCAAAAAATTTTCCTCACCTGCTTTCCATTCTGCTTTGAATCCTCTACCATTAAGCTTACTGTCACTGGTGAAGTTAACACTGAATGGTAAAACAGTAAATGGATCTATTAGACAAAGAGTCTATTACCGCATTCTATTGGAGGATACTCTGATTGGAGCAGGAGTTTGATATCCACATAAAGGAGCATGTTTCTCTTCGTCCATCAATACAAACGAGTCTTCAGAGGAGAGTTCTTTTCCAGAAGTATGATGCTCCTCAGATATCTGTTAAAACCAAGCATCAATCTCTAGGCGTTATGAATGAAGCTTACTATCAATGCATCTTTCACACATTTTTCAGAAATCTCGATATCAAATAATGAAAATGATAACTCCACATGATAACCGCGAGGAACTTGAATGTCCCATATGCACTCTTGATCAGGAGGGTAAGACTCAGGATGAGACGGAGAATGAATTGTTCCAGTCAATTGGACTGAGTGGAAACCACATCCTAAAAATACATGTTAAAATCTCCGCTTATCTCTTTCTGAGAACCATTTGCAAGATCAACGAACTCATAATCTAAGCGGAAGCCTCGTCTCTCAACTGTACTGTCAGTATGCCAAGCAAGAACCAAATAGCGCGATTGGCTTCTGATTTTCTGCACGATTATTATTTTAGTTTAATGAAGAAGAAAGCCAGTTGCTTACAGCATTTCGTTTTGCGTACTCCTGAACAGCTTTCGAAGCATCTGCTTCTTCTAAACAGTACCGATGAATAACATCATCATGTTTTCCTTCAGATACAATGAGAGAATCTAGTTTACATGCTACGTCATTCTGAGCATCAAGATCTGTTATAGTTATCTGAAAAAAGTTATATTATTCATATGTTCATAAGCTCTTTCAGAGTGATCATTCATCGTTCAAGGTTCTCTTCCCCTCATCAGATGCATATATATGTATATAAGCTGAGTAGACTATACTTTAAGCTTCAGTGTATAAGCCTTTTACGCGACTGAACAGTTGTAGTTGAAAGTTCAAATCAACAACTCTTGAAAAATGTATTAACAGTTAGTTCTCCGAACAAGTTGAAAAGAATCAAAAAAGAGAAAAAAAAAAGAAAATATATTTTCTTCTCCAAACATCTGTATGAATGAGAAAATGAGAAGAATTGCTGAAAACATCTTTCTTTTTTTCATGTCATAAACATATGCTTGAGCATATTTATTTTTCAAACTCCAGTTTTGGGTTGATCAAATGAAATTGTAAATATTTCTAGGAATGACTAAAATTAAACTTTTCTGACAATTCATCAATTAATTCATACTTTCATATATTTACTCATGAAGTTGAGAATGAGTAAAAAGATTATTTGCAATGGAGATTGCGTGTCAAACGGTAAAACCTTTCAACAGTTTCAATTATTCGTTGAGTTCATTGGCAGAGCAAACATGACGTCCAAATACCTTTCACGTTAATTATATAATTGTCAAAAAAAAATTATATTTATATTAAATCTTTTGTTATATTATTATATAAAATATAACAATCAGATATTGGTATGATGACATGAATGCTGAAAAATCTCTTTCAATCTTCAATGTAAACAATTTGAAAGTTCTTCCATCTCTGCCATTGTGTCTCATTTCTCATCTGTGGCATCAACTTCAAATCTCAAAAGCTTCGAAACAATGTGAATTGAGAAAAAAAAACTTCTGCGATAAATTACAGTAAAGTTGTGCAAATTCCTGCAGTAATGCTTATGATGATAAGATAATCTGGAACGTTTGAATGCTTGATTTCAACTCAAGCTTATGAGTTTCAAGTTTCATCTCAAGAGATCATCTGCTTCTGAGTACGATTGAAGTATCTCTCACACTTCAATGATAAGAGGATCATTAGTACTCATCCGAATGTGTTATTTTTTTTAGATAAAGAATATCTGTATGATATGTATAGAAGATGAAGCTCAGATATCATCTACGATAAAAGCTTCATTCTTCAACGAAAATTCTTTGGCGTTTTTCACACACACACCCATAAGACCAAATAGCCAAACAGAACAACTGACGTAATACGTGATCTCTAATCATTTCTGGATGACAAACCGTCTAGTCCGTTCAAAGACATCGTTTTTTTTTCCTTCTCTCCAACTTTTTTTTATTTACAGTAGAAGAGTAAATAAAAAAAAATTTGTAAAAGAAGGTGGAGCCTTTAGCGGTTGTTCATAACTGAGGTCAGGTAGCCTGAGTATAAAAGTCAACGAAAATTTCAAACTAATTATATCATAGCGAATCAGTATCTGCTTTACTTTCCGAATTCAACAAGAAATGGCTTCTGCTAAATTGTAAGTTGTCTTCTGCTTACATCTTCAAGCTTAAATCAACGTTTTTCTTGTTTCAGCATCATTCTTGTCAGCCTTTTGGTTCTCTGTGCCTTTGTCACTCAAACTGAAGCTCAATATGCTTATTCTCCATACAGCTATTATGGATATGGATATGGAGGATATCCATACTACAACTACTATTATCCATCTTACTACACTGGATATTATGGATATTACGGAAAGAGAGAAGCCGGATTTGGACCACAACAAGCTCAACCACAAGTTCAAGCTCCTCAACATCAAAGCAACTGATTTGCCATCATAATCGAAACACGAAACGAACTTTGGCATTTCCCGACTTTAACACAAACGAACAATCAGGACTCTTGATCATGCCCTTCTAACAACGATCTTTGTATATTACTTTTCACTTATTTTTACGAATCATCATCATCATGAGATTGAGTAAAAATAAATTCTTTTCATTCGAATAGTTTCTTTTCATTCATTTCAAGGTTTCACCAATTGAAGGAAACAAGAGTGAATGTAGTCTGGACAGCATGTAACAAACTCAGTTCTAACTCGTTTCTCTCAAAGTTCTTCATCTTGAACAAACACCGTACTCTGAACATTCCGAGGATTGTTTCTAGGTCTGTATCGTTGTGAGTCAAAAATCAAATTTTTGCTTTTCAAAGTGAAATCAAATAGAAAATAGATGAACAAACCTCTACTTGTTGACCTTCTGGAGCCATTAGAATCCATTCACAATGTGAGTTCGGAAGATACGTCCGTCCTTCACCAAAGTTGGGACTTGTTATTACTCCCATATTTGGTTCTGTTATCACTCCACCACATTCTTAAATTATTAATTTAAGTTTTTGAGAAAGAAAATGAAATAAAGGAAATCAAATGCACAGCAGAAAGCAACAGTCCTCTTCTTGTTTACTCAAACCTACGAACTTTGGAAGATGATCTCCATATTGAACTGATGTGCATTAGCATCAATCATTCCAAGCGACAAAGTCACTATGTTTATATCCAAATTTTTGTTTGTAAATGTTCTGATTAGCTCTGATCTAAAAAAAATGTGAAAGAAAGAAAAATTCAGAATATGTTAACGTACTTTCCATTGAACGTAGAGTGACAGATACGTTCATCGACCTCAAACGCTTTGTCAGCTTTTCCTGAACAAAATCTAAATTTTGAATTGCTCAGAAACGATCATACCCTTGATATCAATGAAACTGTTCCAGTGAGTACAGCCATATAAAAACGAAGCCTGGCCATCGGAATAATTGGAGATGATTATAGTTGTTGTTCCATAATCATCTGGTCGTTCAATGGCCAAATGACAGAATTCTGAAAAAGAGAGAGTATGTATTTCAAAAATGTTATTGAGAACTGTGATCACTCACGTCCTGTGTTGATAGTGGAAGTATCGTTGCTATCATAACGAACTACATGTGTCCCATTTTTCTTGAACTCAATACTACATCCAGCCTGATCAACATACACAGGAACCTAGAATTGCAACGATGGCTTCAACTTCAAAAATGCAGTAGCTTACCTTTGTATAGTTGATTCTGAATGGAACATAGAAGTCCATGTTTTCTTTGAGCTTATTGTATCGATAGGCCAAGAAATCACGTGGGAATGAATCGGAATATCTGAAAATGGCGGAATTGGTTGAATATCAAAAATATGAGCTTTACAAGACGCTAGAAGCATCCGATTGACTAATCCAAGTTGTGTCATTGCTACAGAAGTACTTAGGACTATAAATATTCGCTTTTTCATAGTCTTTCCCACCATTATGCAGCTGAAAATATTAAAAATATTTTCTACATTTAAAAGAATTTAGAAATACCACAACGTCTGGGAAGCAGTTGATGTACCCACGAGGACTGAATCGTTCTTGATAAAATCCCTGTAATAACACAATTTTATCTTGTTAGTGGATAAAATGTCTCACGTCTGATTTTGGATCAGTGAATTCAATTTCAAACAAGTAACGATGTCCGATTCCTGCGAAGAACTCCCAACGGCATCTACAATACAGTTGTTTTTTCAAACAGCCACGACCTGTTTTTTGTCTTACTTCACATGAGGTAGAAGCTTGTTTGGATAACCAGGTGGGAGTAAGGTTCCGTGATCATCATTGATTATACCACCACATCCCACTTCGCTCGTTCGAACTTGTAACTCGAAACCACACTTCTTATCCTGACAGAATTGTCGTCCCATACGCTGAATCATCAACATGAATGATTAAAAAAGAGTACCAATGCTTACAACATGTGTTGTCACATTCGATTTGAAATCAACTGTCGCTAAACTGCTCAAAGTGCGGTATTCCAGGATATCGTACTGTCGGCTGTTACATTGAGACTCTATCAAGAATGGATCTATAAAAAAGAAAATTAAACTGAAGAAGTTATCTAGTTTCACCTGTTGCATTTCCATCTCTTACGTTTACATATGACGTGGTACAATTGACAGAATATGGAAGCCATAGATGGTTCAATCTGAGAAATTAGATGCTCAAACTATCAAATTCAGAAAAAAAACCTGGCTTCGATCATATGCGTGTTAGGAGCGTGGACTGTCCATTGACATTCACTTTTGTCTGGATACAAGTCAGGGTAGTTGGGTGAACGAACATAGCTTGTCTGATTTTCTCCAAGAACGATTGTTCCTCCACAGGTAGCTTAAACATTAGTAAAGTTTAGAGAATAAAAAAATGATCAACTCACCAATTGAGAAGTTTGCTGAGAAGGCTTGACTTGGAGCGAAAGAATCAGTTCTGATGCGAAGGAACAGCATATTACCAGTTGAATATACTGTTGAAGGAGCTTTAGTTCCGCAATATTTTCCTACCAGAGGACTGTGAGCTGTTGCTCCATCATGGATCTCAAGCCAATCACACGAATCACAAATACATTCGCTAAAAATAAGTTGTTGATGAGTAAACGTAAATGATTGTCAAACTCACTCGTTGCTAGATTCTAACATGAATTCTCTAGGATTTACAGTGAACTGTAGCCGATGACCAGTAGGTACTTGAAGACTATACTCACAATCAATCGAATGAGGAATACCTGAAAATAATATTATAATGAGCACATGAAAGTTTATGAATTACTGTGCGGATATCCAGGACTATAGAACATCATTGACTTTGTGTATTCGTCCAGAACGAAATTGACGTTTGAACAATCTTCCACGACTTCTTGGATTTCCAATACAAAATTCTGATAAGTAGAACCAGATTAACTCTTTCTAAGCTTATATACTCACGTCTTTAGAACTATCTCTAATTTCATCTCCTTTCGGTTTATTAGAATAATTAATGAAGATTTTTCCCTGATAACTTGTAGAAGTGATGTTCACCGAGTCTTCTCGCTTGCCGCAGAAACGAGATATATTCGGAGCAGCAAAGTTTCTATTTTTCTGCAAAAAGAGTTTCATCAGATATGCAAACGATATGATTGAGACAGCTTACCACACTAATGTAATCAACTGTACAATCAGGACTTTCATAAAGATCCAAATCATATATGGTTGTTCTTATAGGGCGGTTAGAGCCAAGAACTAAAATCCAGCTACATTCCTTCTGTAATATGAAAAGTTAGAAAATTAGTTTGAAACAAATTTTCAAACCACAGAAGGTGGAGGAATAGTGATTTTATGATTGAATATGCCTTCTGATGATTTTATGAAATCAAATGATGAACACGCTGAAACAGTAACGATGAGAACTGCAATAAGGATGAAAGACTACTCTTTCTGTATTTCAAAACAAATCCAGATCCTCCTCTACTTCTATCAGAGATGAAATAAACGTTTAACAGCTTGTTATACGTGTACTGGATTGTGAAGTTCTGATCAGTTTTTCGACATAGTCTCGTACCCATGAGAATGTCCCTAGAGAAGAGTCATGAAAGAAACCTAGATACGCATACCTCCCCTCATCATCCGGACTTCTCTCAGAAACCAGAGAAACATAGTCGAACATACAATTTTGTTTATCTTCTAAATCCATTTTAACAACTTGGACTTCTATTCCGGACATGCGAGGTCTTTGAATCGTCCATTTACACTTCATGTTGTTTGGATATCCAGCTTAACCAAAAAAATGAATGAACATTATCGATGACTTACAATCTGTGATAGTTGGATCGTCAACAGTTGGAGAACTAAGTTCCTGCCATTCGTAAGTCGGTTCAGGTAGTTCAGTTCCACAATTGAAAACAATTTGATTAGCTGGAAAAATATAAAGAGTGAGAGAGATTTTCTTATGATAAATACATGTTGTTGAGTTCTGAATGCTATGGTCAGTGCCATTCAAACGTTTCCAGTTCAAGCGGAATCCAAGACCTGTGGCTTGAGGTAGACCGGACATGAGAATTGTTACTCCTTTATCCTTGATGATTAAATCTGTGAAAACACTAGATTGTAAAACCTTCAGTTGAGTATGATACTTACCATCAGGGCGTTCAAATCCAACAAACTTAGTATAATCACTTCCTTCCAAAATATCATTACGATTAAACGCTTCATCAGTTGCGAAAATCTGAAGACTATAAAGTTAGGAAAGAGTGAGTATTTGGGAATTCTACGTATAATCCACCAGGTATCTTCGTACTATCAACGTAATCGTATGGTATGGCAAGCTTTTCAAATGTTAACATGATGGACTAGAATTTAGAATATAAATATACAAAAGAAGGGGAAAATAAACATTTCCAGCTTCTCCTGGAATTCTCCAAATGGTGAAGACGTTGTCTTGGAAGTCAGGGTTTTCAATAGCACCGGGTGTCTCTTGAACTCCACCTTTGACTAAAAAGAAAAGTTTCCTATATCTGTTCTTTTCATAAATAATGATGGCTCAAAACATAGTAAAATAAACAAACTTTTCGCATAACGGAAAGTTACTTTTGGAGCGACCGGAGTTTCTGTTTCATCGTCGTAACTGCTCTCGGGAGAAGGAGCCAAATACCGCATTCGTATGTAATAAGAGTTCGAACTCTGAATATATTATTTTAAAGCATAACTTAATCAAAAGAAACAAACCTTAACCAGGAATGGTTGTGCTTCACAAACTCGTAGGACGAGTGGTCCAGACTCATTATATCGCCGAACTTCAAAATATGATTCGGTACAGTTGGGAGTAACGGGCATGATTGTCCTCCTACAATTTTTACATAACATTTGAAAAAAAGATCTTCTTGAGCTTACACAGAACTGATCATAACTCGGTTACCAGGTGAGGTATTTATGGTCCAGGTACATTCGAAATTAGTTTGCATTGATGGCACGGAAATCGTTCCATAAGGCTCGGTTAAGTCTACCCCACAAGCTGTAAAGCATGATATGAATCCCCAAGAATAAGAACAACTCGTACACTCTATATCAGTAGAGACGGTTAAATGTAGATTGGCTGCATTCTTATTTCTTGTTCTCGTATAGCCAATTTCTATCTTATTTTTAGCTCTCAGCTCTTCGTGATTCAATCTTAAGCTCGCAGATAATCCATTTCCGTAGTACGTTCGGCTCGTCCTGAGAATATTATTATTAGCGAAAAATGCAGTTAAAAAAATATTACCTTGGCTCATCATCGAGTTGCACTTCGATTATGCTCGAAGCAAAGACCTGATAGCCAAATCTTGAATCTACAACGGAACGAACCATAATTTTATCGATACGCAGCACTATTCCAGATGCATCTGAATGAGTTGAATCATGGTAAGACATGAACAAGTGCACTACCTGGATTCCGCTTCAGTACGGTAATGTTACATTGTTCTTGAGCCATGTTGACCAACTCAATCGTTTGATCAAGCTCATCAGCATAAACAATTCCACCGCAAAATGCTCTGGCTTCAAGTACAAATCCGACCTAAACGGTGAAATAATATTTGAAAGGAAAGTCTGCTAAAGCTACTTTCTTGTTTGTCTCGTCTTCCGAACTCATATGAAGTCTAGGAGCGGATGCCCCTTCAAAACGTGCAACTGCCTGCAAAATTGATTTTTAATTTCAGATGTTCATTGAATATTGAACCTCGCCAGATCCAATGTCAAATACTTTTGGCTGAGTTATATCCAAACAAATTCGGTCAATGATCGATAGATTGGTTCTGTAACAATCAGGGACATGGAAAATGAAATTTGAGGTTCGGACTAACACATTATCCGACTGATAGATAGAAAGTGATCCTTCCAAAGCGGGTAGAGGGTACTGGCATCTTAAAAATTGTAGGTACCACCTCTTCTTTCAGTTTTTTGAAACTTACGTAAGGTTATTAACGCTCACTGGTCTCCAAGCGGGTTGCCCCTTCTGTGGATGGCCGTTGGGTGTTGTATACTCTTTCAATGTAAGTTGTAAACGATGTCCGACAGATGTCTTCAATGAAAGAAAAAAATTATAAAATCATAAACGATAAATTATCGAAAACCTGGAAAACCCATCTACAGAACGTTCCTCGAGGATATTCAGACGGATAACGTGGAGAGTGAACAGATGAAACTTGTCCGTGTTTGACTGCAAAGCAAAATTAAATTTGATCAACAGCAACAGCGTAAGATGTATAGAATGAAGTATACAAACCTTGAACTATACCGCCACAATCATCCTTGTCATTAGCACTAGTCTCCAAAAACTCAATAGAAGCAGAGAAGAACGAACTGTTTGAGAGGGATGTCATTATATCATTCTTATGAACCTCAAACAATGATAATCAGTAAAACAATGATAATATATATTACCTTTAATCTAACAAAAAGATCGCTTGAATGAGATTGGAATGATTGATTCTTGATTCCATCACACACAGAATCTATAGAAACATTAGATCGGGCGTCAACTCCAGCGAAAGTCTAAGAATAGAAGCGAGAAAACTATTTAAAAGCGTATTGAGTAATCAACTAACCTCAAATCCAGAGAAATCATCATCATTGTAGGCACAAGCTTTACCGGGATTACGTTGGAATGTGTTGAGCTCATGTACTGTTAAGCGAATTTTAAATCCTGGCTTTGCCTTGAACATGTATAAAATGATAAAACCCACTAAATTCAGATAGAATACCTGTATTTTATAGAAGCATTCATATATATCAGCATTAGGATCCATATCTGTTTTACTAACAGAAACGTTCTGTGGAGTTATTATTTCTCCTCCACAACCCACAGTATGCCATGTTAACCAGAAATTATTCTCTTCATTACCCTTCGATTGGAATGTTATATGCAAAATGTTTCCAGACGACTAAAAATGGATGAGACAATCAATTGAAAAAAATGGAAAAAACCTGTAAACGAATAGGTTCTATAGATGGACTACAAGTATTGGTAATCGAGGAGTTCATTGATTGTATTGCTTTGTTAACTCGGAAATCTCCTTGTGCAATTTCGTTGGCACCAAACTGTAATAAGTAGATGAGATGAATTTACACATTCTGATAACCGATAAATAGTTATGAATACAGCCAGGCATGCCGTATCTTAAACGTTCCTCTACCAGGAAATGCTTGAAGGATAATGCAATTCGATTACCCTTTGGCACCTACAGTATTGATGTGAAAGAAGAAGCTACTTTGAAAAAACCTGAATTATCCATGAGCAATAACGATTTGTATAAACTTTATCAGGATATCCTGGTGATTGAATAGAACCAGAGTAGTCAGTTAGAGTTATTCCATTACATTCTGAAATAAAGGGTTACCCCAAAGTTTATACTGAAAACAGATACCAGTTGTGAAATGAGCCAAAAATCCAAACAAAGCTTTTCCGCCAGCACTTGAATGTTGCCTGTGAATGATGAGATATGAGCCTTAACATTAATACAAAACATACTTATAATATACAGCCATTTCGTGATCATCAGAATCGTATGGAGGAGATCCGATTGACTTCTTACAGTATCTTCTTATCAACCGAGAATCCATTGTTGGTCCGTCCATAATCTATGAAATGTCTTCAGAATAAGCTGATTCTTATAGCAAGAACTGACATCCAAACGGTTCATTGCAAACAAACCACAGAAACCATTTTCATCCGCAGAGTTCAAATCATCTAACATGACCACAGAAAGACGCACGCGATTTCCTTAAAAACTCTCATCAATTTATGTATCAGTTATAATTGGTGCAAACGAATGTAAGACAACCGTTCTGTTCTGTCTACCCTGAAATTAAACAAAGAAAATGTGAATTACCGAGAGCAACAGCTATAGTCCACTTGCATTCCATAGGACGAGTATCCAGAAGAGGATACTGTGGTGCTGCAATTGAACCAGAAACTCCCGAGATTCTGCCACCACAGCCTGCAAAGTCAAAGAGTTTGTAAGTAACATAGCGGGAACTTACTTGATTCAATCTGTTCGTAAGAGATATTGAAGAATATCTTGCTTGAATCTGTGGCTAATAGCTTCAAATAAACCTGAAGGAACATGTGTGAAACAAAATGTCAGAATAAGGAAAATACTCTGTTTCCATGAGATCTCAACTGTCCCATATACATATGATTATCACAAACTTGTGAATCACTCCATAGAGCAGGAAAACCGGGAGCTTGACTAGTCGCTCCATTACTGAAAATACGAAATGAAGTTAGCATAGTGGTAGTTGAGAATTACCGAATTTGTAACTTTCCTTTCCCGCAAGGAATTGACGCATTATTGATCTTGAAAATGACTCCTGCTTGCACGGATAACTAGTAAGAATGGAGATGATATGTTATATATAGAAGGCAACTCACAGCAATATGGAACTCGCATATTCCATACCTTCCAGACGACCCATCAAAGATAATAGTACCACTAGGTTCAGTGAATGTTCTATCACAATCGACATTCGCATCGACACTTTCATATCTGAAGATGAATGTTTTGAAAATAAAATTAGTTACTAGAGATAAGGAATTCGTAGAAAATTTGGATATTGCCTTACCTAGCTGAGAAACCGTTTCCAGCAACAGAACGATCGGAGAAGAACACTACAGCCATTTGATATCTGTCTGATAGTATACTTGGAGGGATCATAGAGCCACAGAACCTGAGTAATGAAACTGTATCGAGGAAGAAATCCTTATTATCTTACTTTCCTAACAACTTTCCTTTGTTAGTTTCACTGATGTAGCGATCATAGATTTCCACTCTGTCGTACGTGCAGTCATCGTTACTTACTATTTCCAAATCGAAATGTTCGAATGTCAATCGAACATTCTTCGACTGAAATAAAGTTCTATATGAGGAAAAAGAGTTTTCACTTACCCATAGTACGTTAATTTGATAAACACAATGCATGTGAGGCAAGTATCGTTCTGGATAGTTAGGAGATGTGATGACACCACCTGATGATGTGAAAACTCCTCCACATCCTGGAAACAGTATTGATGAAGATGATGCCTAACATACATTTTTTCATGCTACTCACCGACGTCGATCGTTTCGTATTCTAATAACAGACCACGATTTCTTGGATCTCCGCTGCTCGAAAATACAATCTTCAAAGGCTTTTCGGCACTCATAGTGAATCTATGTCCTTCAGTTAATGGGAAACGACTACAGTAATATCGCTGGTTAAGATGCTTATAATCTTCTCTTCCACCGGATATCTTCAATTAAATTATTTGTTTCGTCATTTGAAGAAGAATATTACCTCTACATAATCTTCAATTTCGGTATTGTTCGTGCGTAAGAAGCATTGTGCTGCGGAGACAGTTGAGAAACGGACAGTTTGGAATCTGAAACATGGTAACGATGATCAGTGAAGAAGGCAAAACCAACTTTAATGTGATAGCATGAGATAAGCCAGCAGTTATGTAATATGTACACTTTCCAGCATGACCACCATCAGGATAGTTCCAAGTTTGAATAGTTCCATTTCCGGACAAACGTTTTTCACAAACTGTAAGTTGACAGTGATAGAATGACAGTTGATCACTTACCCGATGAATAACGAATCCTGAAACCTCTTCCAGCATGCTTCTCACCAGAATGGAATTGTAGAACAATTTGTGGAACATCAAAAATATATTGTTGTAATGGAGGTTTAGTATCGCAAGCATCCAGCTTATGCTGACCATCGTACGAGACCTGAGAAAGAAAGAACAGTCAAACAGTGCATCTTCAACGTAACATACTCTAAGATAATCTTCCATACAATATGCTGGATATAAAGCTGAACGAAGCATATTTATCCTTTTACGACGGATTTCTGAAATACCTTAACTTGATATAATAATAATTAGGAATAAGATGCTCTGACCGCTGAATGTGAAGAGATTATATTGGGAGAAAAGTGAATTAGGTGAAGATACAACAAATATTCCAGGAACATTGAAATCCAAAAACTCTAACTGAAATATGTCAAGCTTCTTACTGATGCTTTTGAAATCAAAAACTACCTTAAGACTTTGGTAAGTAGAAGTTTCATTGCTGTCTGGCCAGATATCCAGCTTCCATGTACAATCAATGTTCTTTGGATAAAACCCTCCCCAATTAGGAGTTGTAATTATTCCCGAAAAATCTCGTAGCTTTTCTGTATTAACGATGTCTCCACCACAGGCGTTATCAGCTAGAAATTAAAAAGGATGATTACAAACTCAGATGTTATATGAAACATACGTGTAAAGAAGCGGTATTTCATCTCAAATCCATCTTGTAGAGGACTGTCTGAACCGTATAGTGTGTTGCTCTTGAAAACAACTGTTAGGAATGGACCGACCGAACGTAACTAAAACTCAAAAATTGTTTTTTTATAACTTCTATATTTTCTAACCGTGACTGTGTCATTCTGTGAAGAGCAAGCTCGAAGAAGTCGATGGTATTCGAACGATATGTAACCATCGAATATCTGGAACGTGAGTAGTAAAACTACATTCTCTGATTAATGAGTTACCTCCAGTTCATTGATGGAGCAGTTGAATTCACTTCCACTAGTGAATTCGACAGATGGAATTTCAATTTCAATGTACTTATCAGCTGGAGCAGATATATACCTAAACAACCACATAAACTCCAAATGTTGACTTAGAATTTTCTACCATTCGCAAGCGGTATCTAGATGATGAGCTGGAACTGTCAACTTGCCTGGCATATTGGTTCTATAGCCACAACCTGCAAATTCATGAATTTTCAGGAAAATAGAATACTCTCTTACTTCGGTCTTTTAATTCCCATCTTACTCCGAATCTTCCTTCTTTTCCTTTAAACCTAAACATCGCTCTCGATCCCGTCATGGTAATTGGTTTTTCAATAATAGGAGCCTTGAAAGATAATTAAATGTGAAAATAATGATATTTTTGCCAATTATAATGAAAAATTTACCTTGTGCGAGCTCAGTGGACCGCAAAAAGTTTTTATAACAGGGGAGTTTTCATTATCTCCGTCGTATAAGGTTACATTGCCTCGTGTGGTTGAGCAGTCAATTGGTCCTCTCGAGTCAGTAATCATATCAGCGAAGAAAAGGAATGTTACTTTAAGATACTGATTTGAAGATATTGGCTGGATAACAATATCACAAAATCCATTAGTAACATTCCCAAAGTCATCTGGGAATGTGAAGTTACCGGATTTTTCTTCGATGTGTTGACCACAAACTGAAAGACAATGTAAATTACATTCGATTTACAGTGGAAATACCATCTTCTTCCATCTCACAATCAACTCCATAAAAGCCTGGCTTACATATACATGTATAATCATTGACAGCATCTATTATACACTCTCCGCCATTCTGACAGGGTGATGAAATACACTTAGAGGCCTTAGAGAAGATTTTAAAGCTTAAATTATTGTGAAGCAGACCTTTTCACAACGACCACCATAGTATCCATTCTCACACATACACTGATACGATCGATTAGAAACAGCCTTAATGTGAAGCTTAGCATTTGTGAATAAACATTATCCACTTACTCTACACGTTCCTCCATTCAAGCATAGATCATCTCCCTTGCATACTGTCGAGTTTCCTTGATAACATCCTTCTGAACCCATTCCGTCGCCGATATATCCCGTAGCACATATACACATGAATCCTTGAATTTCAACACATTATAAATCAAAATGAAATCAACTACCTCCAACATTCATACTCTCCAGATCTTCTCGGCATTCTGCTAATGGATGGCAAGGCTTGTTAGTGCATGGACTAGTTCTTGTGCATTGTCGACCATCTCCACGATAACCTGGAACTCGAGTGATGAGTTGGTTGAGAATCTTTGCGTGCAATGAAATCAACCGCGTTACTCAATTTGAAAAAATAAAATGAGATCACTTAAAATCAATAAGCATTGTTTTCATTTGTTCGGATGAGCTCATTAGCATAACGTGACTACCGTTGCGGAGGGGAAGTCTCTTAAAATATAATTCTATGCTAATTACCTGCTGGGCAAGATGCACATAAGTATGATCCAATGGTATTGAAACAAGCTACTTTTGGTGTGAGTGAGCAAGGATAGTCTTCACGAGCACACTCATCCACATCCATACATGTTCTTCCATTCCCTGTAAAATGTTCGTTTTCAGATACGCATTGAGTATAGTTGCACCATGAAAGCCTTTCGGACATCCGCTACATTGAAAACTCCCTGGCAAGTTAACACAATCAACTCCAGGATGACAAGGTTGGTTTTGGCATTCATCTACGTCAATGCACGTCGGATTCTCAGGATCATCGGATGGTTTGTAGCCATCATTACAAATACATTTGTAGTCAGCTTGCTAAATTATCAGCTTGTTATTTAGTTCGAAAACAATTTAGCAAACCGAGTCGATATCAGCATCAACACAAATTCCATTACCGCACAGTCCCGGAGTTTTCCTACATGAAGAGTGCTCATACTGACAACGACGTCCATGAAACCCTCTAGGGCAGTGACATCTTGAATCAGAAGTTCTTAGAGCTCAGTAAGAGCTGAAACATACATATATCCGTTAACGACATTCTCACACGTTCCATTATTCTGACAAGGTTCTTCTAAAGTTTCGCACTCATCCACGTCGTTTTCACAAAGATCTCCCTGAAACTTCTAGATGAAGCATAACTGGCTACAGTCTATACCGTTCTATGGGGAGGACATAAACAAATAACTTTTGTCCCAATGTGAGGAATACATGTGCTGCCACCCGTGCAAGGATTTTCATTACAGCCATTCTTAGTCATGATGTCCAATAAACTCCTGTGAAACTAGATAGAAAACGGCCAACATAGCGATACTACCTGATGGCTTTTGATATTCGACCTAAGAACCTTCTTAGGCGGACGTCTTTTACATTTCTATCTTTACGCCATTCCCGTAAGGATTTGACATCAATTGAAATATTCTTACTCTGAAAAGTAAATATTATAATGAAAAGGTAAAGAAGACAAGATGAACTCACAACTTTGTACAAGTTGTCTGTGCTGTTCGCTAAGCGCAGAATATAATCTGTCAGTATTCTTCGCTGTTTTACCATAAATAAAAAAGAGGTTTTCAAGTTGACAGTATCTTCTTTCAGAGAATTGAAATCAGCCTACAGAAGGTTTGTATAGACGATAGTCATGAGAATCTTTTTAACATACCAAGGCCGGTAGTTTGGAGATGTCGGTATTTGCAAACCAGATAGAGCCCTCACCGGCTGTTACGAAAGTAATATTTTTATTATTGCCAGCTCGGAAGTACATATTTCCATTAACAGTTAACAAACGAGATCTGAATAGGTTAAGATGAAGAAGAGATGAGTGTTAAGAGATTGAGGGAGAAACCTTGTTTCATAAACATCAAATAGTTCGACATCGGAATAATCATCAGCGTAAGCTGGGAACCAAGCTATTGTTATCAGAAATATCCATTGAAGTTTCATTTTTTGATAATTTTCTAAATGAAATCTATGAGATGAACGTAAATGAATTGATTGAGCTTACAGAAATTGATGGGCAACGAAGAATGGATGAATGGTTGTTTTGTGATTATATTAATTATATACAATTTTGTTGATTTTTTGTAATTCGATCCGTATAAACTACCTGGTGATGATGTCATTCAAGGTCATCGTTAACCATACTCTTAACTGAGCACCAAGTGAGTCTATTCTATCCCCACATTAGGTAATTAGCAGACTGAACACTTCTTCCTGCACTTGATCATCAATTCATTTGCTCAAACACACACTTCACTAATCTTCTCAACTTTTTGCATGTTCCTCGTCTGCTTCTTCTGTTTAAAAATAAAAAAGAAGAACTTTGTGTAGAAATGTGTGAAGGAATGTTTAAGCTGATTTTTGATTTTTTCCAACCTTCAGCTGAGTTTTGATGTCAATCAGTCACTTAGATAAACAATGTTTTTCAACCAGTCGCCACGACATGTATTGAGAGCAACGGCAATTTTCCTTCTTCAAATGAACTACCATAAAAGGCATTTTTTTTGAGTTCTGTCAACTTCGGTAACCATATCGAAACAGTTTCAAACACAAAAACTTTCTTTTTTTCTTCTATTTGGTAAATTTGACTCCAGAAATGTCAGAAAAAAAAGGATATTTCATTGCTGGCCGAATGACGGCGACAGTTTTGTTTGTGAAAAGTTCAGACGAACCGTTTGAGTTCAGTTGCAGTTTCATAAAATCTTCCGAAAAGTCTGATTGATGTCATCTGAATCATAGCTATTGCTATTGCATCAGCAAATTCATTCAAAAGGACATTAAGAACACTTAGAGTTTATTAAAAATTATCTTTAAAGCAAATATTTGAAAATAAACAAAATTTCCAATTATTGAAAGTAAATGAACTTATGGATGATGAGAGGATGAGGATTTTTGTTGATTTTTTTCTCAAAAAATCTCTTCGAACTGTTTGGGTAAAAAAGATTTTTTATTTGTCTTTCATCTTCTTTCTGTTTTATCAGTGAAACCGTTCAAGCTTGGATGACATATTGCATGACTACTTTGCTCTTCACAAACTTCTTTCCTGACACAAGAAGTAAGAGCAGAGAAGATACAAAAAAAAATCTTTTCTTTTTTGTGTGCTTGTGCTGGCTGGTGATTGAAAGAAAACGGACGACGGGTGTGAAGAAGGATTCTGTTTGTCATGACGGACGATAATCCTGACGGTTTTTATTCACTTCACTCTATTTCACAAGATTCTCTGCTGCTCACACAGTCTTTCCTTCAACTGTCTGGAATATCTTAGAAACTTTCACGCACGTAAAGCTTTTGCTACTTTTCAACATTTTTTTTTCTTCTCTCACCTTCTCTCTTTCGCCACATCTGTTTCTATCTCTAACTGTCGTATCTCGACCACGCATGCATTCTCTCTTTTTCTACCATAAGTCTTCTAAAACCAAAAAGAAAATGAGCATTTACTACTTGACTCTCCGCCTCTGACTTCTCTCCGAAGTACAAACACTGTTACCGAGTAAAAGGCGAGTATAAAAGAGCCCTCAGAAATCAGTTTAACATTCATTCAACGGTTTCCACTCTCGAACTCTGAAAATGAACACGTAAGCTACTCTTCATCTAATTGAATCAAATTCATATAATCATTTCAGTCTTCTTCTTTTGTGCCTTGTTGCTCCAGCTCTCTCCCAGCTTTACTACTATTACCCAACTTCATACTACACTCCCCTCTACTACTATCCAGTTGCTACTGCCGGAACACAAACTCAAACTGGTGATGCCTCCCATCAACAACAGGTACATTTCATTTTCATAGTTGTTTCTTCGAATTGCATCAAATTTGAATAATCCACTAACGGAAAATGTCCATTTATGGAAATTTTTAAATTAGTTAGGATAGAGAATAGTTTATCCTTGTAGTATACATCCCAACAACAACCACAACAATCTCAACAACAACAAAACTCAGCCCAAGACCAACAATATCAAAATCAAAATTATCAATCTAACCAGGTAATTAATATAAACTAATCTATACATGGATAAATACCGTAAACCTATCATCTAATTAGTATCCCGGTCAAAATGAACAACAAATGGATCAGCAACAACTCCAATATAATGCTGGTCTTCAATCCAATCAGGTAATTCCTGCCATCAGGTCCTTCATCCACTCACTTTCCATAATTTGCCATCCTCAACACAACACACCCAACTACCATACTCCCCTCTTCAAATATTTTACTTTTTTTTATTTAACTTCTTGAATAAGAAAAAAAAATACAATTATCTCCAATTGCAGCAGTATCAACAACAGCAAGGACAACAAGGGCAACAAGGACAACAAGGACAACAGGATCAACAATACTATCAACGTGATCAACCACAACAGCAACAGCAACAGTATACTCAGGTAATACTCGCATTGTTAGTTGATAATTCACCTTTCACCTACAGCAGTATACGATGAATGCTCAACAACAGAACCAAAAGACACAACAACCTCAAAGAGATGTTCCATCAACGACAGGAAATACCGGAAATACCTTACAAACTGCTGCTGCAGCCCCCATGTATTATTACTACACTTACCCATACTACTACACCTATGGAAGAAAGTAAATTCAGAAGTTTACTGTTTTCTCACCTGCGGATCCTCAAACTCTTACCCATTCAATCCAACTCAGAATTCTATTCGATATGTCCATAATAAAGATTTTTTTGATTTTATCTGATTCAAAGAAACTAAGTCGACAATTAGCAAGCAATAATTGAACTGTTACATTGTATTTTTGGTGCACCGTATATGCATCAGTGCTGATCCGGTTATCTGGAGAAGGAAAAAAAAACTTTTCAATTCCTTTTCATTCACTTTATCTTCATTGTGTCACAAGGAAATAGTCAAGTCATAACCAGTTGGAAAATCAGTTGGAGGCGAAAATATTTCGAAGCGTTTCAGTTTCTTCGCAATGAAATACGAAATCGCCATTACCTGCCTATTGCCATGGCAACGATATCACAGTCTATGTCGTCTTGACGTTCTGTTTCGTTCAATCACATTTGTTCAACATTCTTGGAAAAAAGTTTAAAAAAACATATTTGATTTCGTGATTTTTTCATTTTGTTATGATGGATTGAGTTATCGGTCTGAGTATCTGAAAATAGCATTTTACCATTTATAGTGTTCATGCAGTTATTTCTAACTGTTTTTTTTTGTTGCGCGCGAGAAATACAAAACATGTGAAAACGAGAGGAACGAAGAGAGAGAGAGAAGGATGGCGAAAGAGAAATTAGAAATGAATATCCCCAAATTCCTGTTCAGTCTAGTCTTTGATCATACTTTTGAAAGAGACTTAAGTTAGGATCTGTCGTTTGAGAAGATTTGAAAACTCTTCCATGACAACCCAGATGATGTTTGGTTTCTTGACCAATGTCATATATTATCCTGTTTAGGTCTCATACAATATCACGTGTGATTAAACAATCCTCTCATTCCCTACCTTTCTCTTACGTAATGATGTCATTTTCTTTGAAGATTCAAACCTGTTGTCGAACCTTCTTTACCTGTGTATGTTTCAAATGTTTCATATGAATCGTTCATTCAGTAAGTTCCCATCAGTCCGTTCTCAGAAATTTTTAAACAAATTAACCTATTCTAATAGTATTGTTCGCTATCCTTATATGGTTTGAAGCAGTAACATGATTTTTCACATTTGTTTCTTGAAAACAACTGATAATAGTTTAATGAGAGAAAGGCGGGCAACGTTTTAAGTCGAGAGACAGAGAAGAAGAAAAGAGGGAGTAGGGAGAGAAACAAAAAATGAATGTGATAGAAAGAGAGAGAGAGAGAGAAAGAGGAAGAAGTTTGAAAGAGAGTAAGAGACTTGTTTAAGCAACTTAGACTCTTCTACTATAGATATCAGCTGCAAAAAAAAGAAGACTAGACGACTGACAAGTAAAGCGTAACGACGAGAAGCATCTTTGTTGATATTCTGAATCAAAATTACTTCTGCTGCTTCTTGTTTTCTTTCCGAATTCTTTCAAAACTACTACCATTAACTGTATTACATTTGAAGTTGTTCATCATTTGTATCACGTATATTTCATTTTGAAATGCAGAATATCTTGAAATGTCCATGTCTCTCTACTACCATAGCCCCTTACCACCTATATAACCTTATTGATTAAGAACAGTAATGAGTCTGAGTAATTCTAGTTAATCACTCACTTTTTTTTGACAAACCTTAAGCGACCTTCTCCCTTTTTCTCATTCTGAACTCTCATTTTGCTTGCTTGCTTCCTTTTTTGGAAAATGTTATTATTCGACCTTGATCATCTAGTTATTTCCATATAGGAAATGCTAGAAGACGATCTTGTTTTCAAAGGCTTAAACGTTTCTCTTTCAATCACCACCTGATCAAATCTTATGCTAATATTGTGTTTTTATGTTATCTTCTAGTAATTTATTTGTTTCATATCAGATTATTAGTCTACTACCATGCCTCCCACCGCTCCTGTCGAGACTCGACAATCAATCGATGTTGAGGAAGCAGTCGATACAGTAAATTCTTATGCATTGTTATCCAGTTTATCTAACTCATATTTTAGCTTCGAAAAATGGTTTCCGATGTTTTGACTCCTCAATACGATACTCACTATAACCTTCTCAGATGGCTCACTTCAAGTGATTTCAACCTGGCCAAATCGGCACACATGCTTCGGTTTCGCCAGACAATAAAAAGGCAATTGACTTTTAACCTTTCAGAAAACATTTGAAATGGCGTCGAGAACGTAAACTTGATGAACACGAAGACTTTCATGGCTTGCAGAGAAGTAAGGTATGACGAAACTGTTTGAAAATCGTTGAATAACATGATCATGTGTTAGGTTGCCGAGGAGTTCGCACCCATATCCATCGTCGGATTCAATAGGTCAGATGGTGACCGTCTGATTGTTATAGATCAAGCAGGTAAAACGAGAAATTCCAATCATTCCGCGAACGAATACAATTTGCCATCGGTTTCATTAACTGTTGTTCAATGAAAACCGTTTGTTTAACAACCTAATTGATTCGTAAACCTTGTGAAGATAATTAAAATTACAAAAAACTAGTTGTTCTAAGACTTCAGTTAGACAAAGTTCTTCAATTCCTATTTTTTAGGAAAAATTGACATAAATGGAGTTATGAAGTCTGTACAGCCTACTGAATATCTCCATCAGATGTTCAGAAATTTCGAAAAAGTTTACAAACATATTCAAAAGGTAGACAACATGTCAACTGCGGTCATACAATATAATAACTCTCGCAATTATGTTTTAGAGAGAAAAAGAGATTGGAAGTCAGTGCGCTGTTTATTATATTTTTGATTTGGCAGGTTTGGCGTTTGATCCTTTCCTATTGAGTATTGTCAACGGTAAATCTACTTTTGAATTTCTGAGATTCTGATTGAAATTGTATTTGCAGGACCGTTCAGAGTATCTTGGCAGCTAGTTGCTTCTCATTATAGAGATTTTATTGACAAATTCATAATTGTCAATTCTCCGAGCTATATCAACGTACTTTGGTTTGCCTTCATCTCTTTCATTTTCGACATTCGTTCACTTTAAGGTCAGCCATATCAGCTTTCATCCCGGAACACGCAAGAGAAAAGTTCGTTTTTGCCGATAAGAACTGGCATGAAGAACTTCTGGAATTGTGTGATGCAGACTGCTTGCCTGAACGATATGGAGGAAATCTTCCAAACGAACAAGTGTTAAAGTACTCCTAATTGAATAGCAAACAGAGAAAACTTTTTGATTACTAGGGATCCTAGAATAGTTCCAAAAGAGTTTTACTGGAAACCAAGAGACGACTATCCTGCACTGAATCAACTGCACAGGGTGTCCGTACCAGCTGGAAAAAACAGAATTTTAAAATACTTCATAAGAGCCGAAACAAAAATCAACATCTACTCACACAACGAGAACGACATAACATTCTCATTATTATTCTCCACGAAAGAAGTAGGTCAATTTTACATAGTTATAATAAGCAGTGTCTATTCATCAGGATATGGGAGAGGAGGATTGTGAAGTCGTAATCCCCCCCATTCCTAAATGTGGCTTACCAGCAATGGATTGTTTTGACTATCATTGTGAGAATTCAGGATATTACCATCTCAAGTAAGCTCTGATTACATTGAAAACCGTTAGAACATCATGTTTGTAGACTTTCGAACGAAGCTTCTTGGCTCTTGCCGACAACATACCGTTTGATGCTGCATGATCATGAAAATTCTGAGATCCCAGCTATTAATATAAATGAAAAATGGATTAAAGTGGGTGATAAAAAAAGAAAATGAGATCATTTAGGACGGAAGGACTTTCCTTTGAATCACATAAAGTATAATGTACATACATGTATTGAAAACGTAAATAATATCATAAACTGTAATAAACTTTTCTCGATCTGATTCAACCTTCCTATTCTGAATATGTTTTGAGCTTGATTCTGTCAATTACAATGTGCTTCTTGTCACATTAGTTTGTACGAACATACGTAAGACTATGAGACAGAGTAGATGATTTCTGCTTTAACACTCACATGATCATTCAGTTTGTTGATAATAAACGTCAGTGACTAATGAGATTCAGTTTGTTACCTATCCATTTCAGAATCTGATAACCATTAACCGAAAAATTTGAATGGCAATTGCGAGCAATAAGTGTATTATATGTGAGTGAATGAAATCAGAAATAGTCTACAGCAACTCAACCATAAAGAACTAAAAAACATTTCACGAGAAATATATATATCTTCATATGTATTTCAAGCTGATATCTGAAGATTATCATCTGCAGTTTATAACATATTTCTTTCACATTCCTAACTGTCTCATATTGCTTGTTTGAAAACATCTTAGATAGGATCTAACAATCATAGCTCAACGTTCACTAGATGTTACCACTTATTATAAAGAATACTCGCAAAGTTGATAGAATATTCTTTATTCTACGATGGGTCATATCCGTAAGTGTATAAGACATCCTGAGTCTTCATCATTCTTACTTTCAGCCACTTAATATCATTGCTATTGGATGTTTCAGCTTATTCCTCTACAAGTTCTTCAAGCGTAAATCAAAATATGATTGCTTCACTTACTTGTCCGTATTCCGAGCCTTCATTCACATTCCATCAGCTCTTATCAGTCTCTCAGTTATCATTTTCGGAGAAGTATACATTTCTAATTCGTTGAGATTTGCATCAATATGCAATTTTATAAACAAATTCAATTTTAGATTAATGTTATGGTTATTATATCAAGCGAAGACAGCTACTCCATTTCTTTTCATTTTGTCTGAGTTCATCATTGGCTTCAATCGTTACATAGCCATCTCTCACTATATTTATTATGATATAATGTTCCCAAAAAGGATAATATATGTAAGAGATTGGGACAAGGACAATCATTTCATGAAAAATCTTCTGTTCAGATTATACAAACAGTTGCAATATTTCTAAGCTTTGGGGTAACCTTATCTGCAGAATTGGGTATAGAATGTTATCTTTATATTCAATTCTACTCTCGTTCTAGTTGAAAATGAAGGTGAGACGGTCTCTTTCTTCTCGACAAGTATAGGCGGTATCACCTTAATCTTAAATATCGCAACATTTGGAAGGATTATTCATATGCAAGTTAGTTGGACTATCCCTTGCTCAAATATACTTCTTCTTAAAAATAAATGTTTTAAGATATCAGATACGAAGTCGCCTAACTTCCGTAACTGCGTGAAAACTTTCATGTTCTCAATATTTCAACTGTTTTTATCATTTCTTTTATTTGCCCAAGTATGGATTCGGATACAAGATGAATTAAATATACTCATCTATTATACTATCGGAGACTCCATAAAAGATAGCTTAGAAGGGTATGTACTTACTATGGTTAGTGAGATCTCATTATGTTACTCGCAGATTGGCGACAGTCTATTTCTTTCGTAAGGTTATATTCGATCGTCAAGGTAATAATAGAATAACAACTATCACTAATACATTGTGAAATGATTGAAATCTCGTCACTCAGATTTGAACTTTACATTCTCAATGACAGAAAAAGTATTTCAAATGAAACTTTCATTCAATTTAAAGTTTTGTTCTGTTCCTTGTTTTTCGATTGAGCAAACCACTATAATGACATAGAAAACGATGACTTCATCTGATATATTCAGAAGCAGCTCTTGATTACTGATTGGTGATCTGAATATTGAGAAAAGATGTAAAAAAGAATCAAGACACATGGTTTGTCTACTGAGTCGTTCTAACTTCTCATATCCGTCTTATAAAACCAAATATTCGAGAAATAAAAAAAAAGTTTCATTTTTTTCGAAAGTTAAACGAGTTTTTCGGTTGTGCCATTGGTATTCATTTAGCATTTGTGACTCGAGTTACCGGTCGTATACAGGTTGGCGTTACACATGCTTTGAATCCAAACGCTGTTTTCTTGTTTCAGATATACATATTTCATATCTTTAGTGTTATTTTGTAAATGTATTGTTTTTGACAAAAACAAGATTTGGTTGAGCAGTAGCAACCAGAACTACCTAGGATCACACATTCAGTTGTTGTATATCATCAATTAATCATGAACGTTCATGCACACTTCATTAATTTTGGAAAAGGAAAAACCATCTTTGTTTCTTCTAGGAACATCTTTATCATATCGTTGATATTATGATTTTCGAATAAGATGCGTTTTACTGTCAAATTTTTAGAAAGACCAATTCAATAGTTTTGCTTCGATGGGGATGATTGAGTTCACGTTCTTCTACGGTAGAGAGTTAACAGATTCAATGATCAGCTGAACAGCCAGGTGGACGACTCTTTGATTGAACGGAGTTGATATTTAATCTGGAAGAAATATAAATGAACCAGAAAGAATAACTAACCTCTCTGTTGAACGTAAGATAAACGATTGCGTTTGTGCCCAGGTAGATGAGAGGAAAGACGACCATCATCGTTCTAACTTCAGTAGATGTTTGAGGAAACACCAGATAGACGACCCAAGAGATAGTGTAAACCAGGAAGATCAGAGCACATTGGAAACACAACCTGCCGT